GCTGGGCTATTGTTCTGCCAATTAGATCTATTGTTTTTTCACGTTCTCGTTGCCGTAGCCGTCGTGGTTAGCTTAAAGTCCCTATTAGTTCATGACCCCCGGCCCCAACAAACCTCTCACTAACTTGTACCCAATCTTCCCGGAGGCGGAGAATCGTTCGCCCTGCAGCGCTGAGGGTCTGATCGCAAGCTATCCCCTGATTGGCACATTCTCCTCTACACAATTACATTTCAAAAATAATTCCAGTGTTCAAGATTTTCTTAGTTTCACAATGACATATCAATTCGTGTGTACCTCTCAACTGCAGTTTCCCATTTCAAAGTGTACAGAACCTCCACTGCTAGTTTTTGCTTGGCTGTGGGACTCTTATCAGCCAGCAAGTGAGCAGTGATGTTACTCAGAGCAACCTTGACATCATAATGTGAGTTTGCTGTCTCCATACACCGCAGGTGATTACTCAGAGCAATTTGAACATGAGTGCAACCAAGAAGTTCAGCATCAAGAGTTGTCCACTGCAAGGCTCGCCAAAATCTATGGAACAGCGATCAATTATTTACCAACTTTTTGTTTTTCAGCGACACTTTCTCTATCCAAGACGTTTTTGACGTTGTTGATCCTGACAGCAAACAGGTTGCTTATAGTCTGCGAGACAGGCGCCAAATTTTTCTCTCTTCATCATTTTTTTTTTCAAGCGAGCGGACGGAAGCGCGAGGCGTGCGTAAAGAGCAAGCCACGCGCGACAGGAGTGTGACAGGCGTCAATAATATCGCTCGCACGCCTCCTCTCGCGCGAGAGGAGCGCGATAGGTGTCAATTATATTGCACTCCTCCTTCCGCGTGGGACTCGCCCTTCGCGCTTTTTTTCACGCTTGCCTTTCGCTTACTTCCGCTATATCAACCTCTCTGAGAAAACTTTTCACAAGCAAATAATATCTTATTGTAGCTCTCTGCACCGAATAAGTTAAAAAACGCAACAACTACTGGCGGTAGCGTCTTTAGGCGTGCGCATAACGAGGGCTTACATGTGCAGTAACAATATCTTACCCTAGACTCTTATCTGATTTGCTATTCTCTTCCACTCCTTTTACTTTAGACATGTTCTCGAAGTTTTCATGCCAACCTAGATTCCAGGCCAACCTTAGTCTGGACACGGCTGGTTCCGATTTCAGCGCGTCTTTCTCTTGAAGGTCCGGAGACTGGTGCACACTGACAGGGGTGTGAATAGGAGGGGAGAATGGAAACTGAAATCTACAAAAAAAAAGGAAGGGAAAGACAATATGAAAAAAAAAAAAAAAAAGAATAATGAATGCTACAAGGCAACTTATCTCTTTAGAAGACAAGCACACATTTTTAGACCTGGATACCCAAGATTTATGAGATGAGAACCTCGCTAAATTTAACTGAAAACAAAAACCATACGTTGTGATTAGTGGCTACCCTTCCCTCCGTTCCAAACTGGGCAAGGTTGCAAAATCTGGACAAGTCACTCAATCCCGATTTGTGGGGGCAGTTAAGAGGCTGCGATATGGACGAACCCTTGGGGACCTTAAGCAGTTAGGACGCCATCGCGTAGGAAGACGTTGATTAAACAAAACAATGAATATTTTTAGCTTGAATTTCGCGCATGGCTAGATGTGTTCACTGTCTCTTACTGCACCACACCTCAAATTCAGCATAAAGTTTACGGGCAGCGTTGAGTTTCAAGTGGAAACTTAAATAATTTGCGTTCGTGGTTTCCGTTCTCAGATTAGGCAAATTTTGGTTATTTCACACACGAGCATAGCTATTAATCTGCCCATTAAATCCTTTGTTTTGCCTCGTCCTCGTTGCTGTCGCCTTCGTGGTTTGCTTAAGGTTCCTAATTTTGCCGAGAAAATGTGTAAAGCAACAAACCGTTTGAATAACATACCTTCTTAGCAGTGATTTTGGTAAGCTGAAAGGTATCCCACTACTACGATCGGGCACCACTACTGCAGCCTCATCAAAGAGGAGAAGAACCATTAGACAAGCAGCCTCGTATTTCACTTGACCAGTGAGCTGACACAGCAGGGCACACCTGAGGAGCAAATCAGAACAGAAATATTATTTGAAATGACTGCGAAAAAGTGGCATTTCCTATGCTTGAACTACACTTAACAGTAGATTTAAAGATTGTCACCTTCGCAAGAAAGTGAAAAAGACTGTACTCGAGCCAAGAGGCCCATGTAGCTGGAGCTTATCTCAGTCTTCATAGCACGATGGGAACAGGATTACTACTCCTCCCTGGATGAGATGCCAGTCCATCACAAGGTTACCCCCCCCCCTCCAAAAAAAAAAACAGGCTTCCCTGAAAATTCGCATGTACCTGTTTATAGTTCTGAGTGGAGACAGGGACTGTGAGAGTAAATTGTTTTGCCCAAAAACTCAACACAATAACCCGACCAGATTTCACACTCCGACCTCTTGACCCAGACTCCACCTCACTAACCACTGAACCAACGCATCGACCTATTTACCTTGTAATAATAGTATAGGAAGACAATTTCGTAGCTAAACGGTGTCTACAGCTAGCACTGTATTCTGCTAATAGTCTTAGGATGGTCAGACAGGCTGGTATGACCTCTACCATTGGGCAAGGTGTGGTCGTAGAGTGCAAAGGGGCATCCTGTTCTAATATTTCTGCCAGAATAGACATGCAAACTTCATCTGCGTGTTCCTGTAATAGAGGCTCATGCCACTGAGGATCTGAAAGAAAAGGAAGGAAGTTTTAGCTTTGATTTGTACTGTAAAACACAGCAAGCCAGTAAAAGTGACCCTCATTCAATGGGGTAAAAATGACAAGTAAGATGGTTTTGTCAAAAACTGGTTGGCAAGCTTATGGTGCTTTTTGTAACCATTAGGCCAGTGTTGCTTCATTTCTCTCTTTTTGATAATATTTGCACCTTTAATAATTTTGTCAAAAACTGGTTGGCATGCTTTATGGATGCTTTTTTGTAACCATTAGGCCAGTGTTGTTTCATATCTCTCTTTTCAATCGTATTTGCCCCTTTGTAATAAACCAATAAAAGGGGGAACCTAAAGTGATTTATCATCAGGAAACACTGTCATGGCCTCACTTGCTGAGAAGAAATCATATATTATAAATCCAATCTCTGTAATACTCTTTTTTCTATCACAAAGTAAAAGAGTAATAAATGGCACTTGCTATACATTTTGAAGTACTGTTTTGCATCTATACCTTGGTATATGTGATTATTAGCAACATACAGTCAAACACAGGAAATGGTTTACACACAGAACATCTTTTTACCTTGAGAAATGATGGCTAGCTGCTGAGCTGAAGATTTCCTCAGAGCCACATCCAGAGAAGATGAAGACAGTATGGAAAACAAATTGAGAATTTCAGTCTTGTCCACACTGGTGTGCGTTGCTGGTGCATGAGCATGGACAGCAGAGGTCAGCTGATCCACCATGAAAAGATCTGCAGCATTGTCCGCCAGAATACCTTGAAATGAACTCTTCCTTCTCTCCCTACTTGCTTGATTTGTGAGCTGCCAGACAACAGATTCAAAGGCTTTACTGCGTACTTTGGAGTCTTTTACAAACATCAGGCGCAGTGCCCCTCTGAACTGCTCCAAGGATGGTAATGTTATGATGTCCCCTTCAGCAGTGACATGCCCTCCTGCAGCACCATGTGAGGCTACAAGCTCCAGAATGCATTGATCCAGAGCTGGATCAACTAGGATTGAGCCTTGCAGCTGGGGTAACGAGGCAATCAAGCCTTCTAGGAGTTTTTTCCAGAGTTCACCACTCATACTGAGACGACCAAGAAGTAAGGTGGTAATGAGTTCAACTGCCACTTCACACACCTACATGAAACAATTCCTAATTTTGAATATATGCAGGTACATAGTCTGCACTTGAACGAAGTGGCCCATCCCAGTAGAACCTATTCCAGTTTCTATGTTATGAAGTGCCCAGGGGGGGGTATGTAATCTTATGGATATTGTTACTCTACTTTATTTCCACTTCATCACAGGTTCCCTCCTCTCCTCTCCCCCACATTCCTAGCATTTTGTTAGGCATTGTGAGAGTAGAGTCTTACGCCCAGAACACAACAAGATGACCAAGCCAGGGCTCGAACTCAGATGTCTTTAACTCCTGTGAGTGACCAACCCAGAATTTCCCCTTACACAGGGTTCGCACGCTTTTGACCTGTTAAAATTCCATGTCTTTCCAGGTTTTCCACGACCTGTACGAATCCTGTTACATTATCAATACAATATCATGCAACCAAGTGATGAAAATAAAGAAAAATGTCAATTAGGGGATGATTAGTCAATCAAATGTCAAATTCTCCAAACTTCCATCATAAGGACTGTATGACAGACAGTAAGGAGAATTACCACTGAGATCTTGGGAGTGGAAGAGTCAACCCACAGTTTGGCACACTAACACTATACACCTGGGAAACAAGGAAACATCTGCTCAATCAGATGTCTTTTATTTGTCAAATTCTAATGGTTGCGAGTCTTGAGGGGCAAAGCACAACCAAGCGAGGATGTTTCTAACCTGGAACCAAGTCAATGCCCGACTTCAACACAATGCTAAATAGTGGAAGAGTCATCGCAGAGTTTGGCACACTCACACTGTACATCTGGGAAACAAGGAAACACCTCCTCAATCAGATGTTTTTTATTTATCAAATTCCCTCGCAAGTCCAAACAATGATATGCCAGTTTTGGAACAAGGAGAACTTTCAGGTAATAACTTAATATATTCTTTAAAGCTTTTCCAGACTTACTAAAAAAAAAAATCAAAAAAAAAACCCCAGTTAAGTGTAATACTACTACATGTAGTGATAAAAAGTAAACAAATTATATTAACTAAACTGACCTTTTCATCCTCATCATAGATTCCAAAGCAGCAGATCTGATGTAGCACTGCCCTATCTAACAAAAACAGAGCTTTTTGACAGACCACAGAGAATGGTTCAGTCACATGACTCACACTGCAAGCTTCTTTCACCAGACTCAGGGATACTTTATAAGCTTGCAGCCTTACTTCAGGACAGGGATGAGCAAGTATCTGTAGCGCTATCTTCTGGCATGCAGGGATGGCCCTCTCATCTGCCTGACTTGCTGGGTCACAGACCCTGCTACAGATCTTCACTGCTTCAGAGATGAATTCCATGTGCTTGTGATAAGTGACACTGGGCACACAGGCAAGCACAAGGTTAGAGAGCTCATTCAAGGAGTGAGCAAGTTCCTGTAGGTAATGAAAAGATAGGAAATCTTAGCACAAGAAGTGTTGTACAGTATTGTAAAAATTTTTTCTGAGATGGTTCAACTTCATTCGCATACCCTGCATTTATAATAATAATAATAATAATAATAATAATAATAATAACAGTTTATTCACAGTATATNAGCCAAGATCCAAAATGGTAGATATACTGTTTACATATTTACAAGTGATGAAACTAGCCATAGCGAACTGGAGCCTTTGTAGTCTAGCTGAGAGGAACTTTGGTAGTGGATAAAAAACAATGTCACAGTAGCTTATTTTAGACAGAATTAATGTTTCTACCAAATGTTTCCGTAGTTTAAAATTAGTAAAGTTCCTTATTTTTCTTAAGGTTCTCAGAGTCGCATAACAAGATTTAAGAATAAAATTGGTATGAAATTCCCATTTAAGATTTGAGTCGATGTGTACTCCCAGGAGTTTTGTAACATTTATACGTTCCAGTGGTTTACTGGAGATTTCTAATCCCAACTCCAGCTTACAATGTATATCATGTGACAAAACATCAATACTTTGTTGAGCAAAGGAACCACAATTTTACCTTGACTCTACACATCTTGAGGAATTTGCAGGTGTGAGCCATAGAGTCACATATTCCTTGAGTGAAAGCACACAACTTGTGCGAACATGGATCCAGAAAAGCAAGGTACTTCATTGCTGCAGGTCGTAAATGGGGGTGGGAGATAACCAGGAGCTCATCCATAGAAAGGAGCCACATCACTGTTGTTACCTCAGAAGGAACCACCCTAGATGACTGAAAAATGGTTATTTAAGAAACTTAACTGGGAAGAAAGGCATTTACAGATACCACTGAGACAGAATTAATTAGTAGAACATAAACTGTGCAAACAAGAAAGTTAATACTCTTTCAAATTAATATGATTTCATGACTTTCTATGAGTAATTATTAGCATTAACTGGTTTTATCTGAAACTCCTAAATAAATTCAGTGGCTTAGTTTTGTACTCGCATATTTTGCATCACTATCTTGCAGACAAAAATCAAGGAAAATTCACGAAAAACCTGTCTAACATCGAGTTTTATTTCTGGGTCACCTCTCATCAGAAGACTTCTACATTCATGAAATCTTCCCTTTTGCAACATGGGTTTGTATTCTGGTAAAATTAAGCATTAGCAAGGCCGTGCTCTAGGAAAAATTGAAGGGAGCCTGCTGCTCTGAAATGGTGAAATCAAGGGTGCCCACCATATGCCTTTTATGAAAAAACTAGATTCCCTAGTGGCCCAAGAACAACAGTAAGGCACCAGGGGTAACCAGGCACTGTTAGAGTGTTCAGTCCTGGAAAGGAGAATGAGGGCATCAAAGGCTACTTTGTAAATCTTTGACAAAAATTTGACCTTTTAAAACAAATCCTCCCACACAATCCTTTGAAGGGTGGTACACAGAGTTTCCAACGATGTCTGCCTCAAGTAGAAAGAGGTGATCACAGCAAAATTACATGGAGATTATTATTAATAACTTTCTGATAATCCTCCTACACTTTCTCTGTGAAAAGTAGTGTACTTACAATTTCCAAAGGCACTACGCTATCTAAGAACTGCAACAGAAATGTTGCCAAATTGACAACTGTCATTCGGTGTATTGGTAGTGTGTGGTTTGGAGGCTTAAAGTCCTTTTGTTTGTCTTTCCCTTCATCCAGGCCAAGCCTTCCATAATATTTGATATGATGCACAATACTCTGACCCACACCCTTCATTATATTTACAAGAGAACTAGCCTGGAAAAGAGGAAAACATACAGATAAGTAGCAAATTTGTTAATATGCTTTAGTTAGCATAATTTAAGGACTTAAGCCACTCTTACATAGGCAGTGTCTGACACAGGTTATTGAAAAACATAGTCCCTTTGGCCATCATCATCATGTTGAGTGGAGGACATGAGTCACACATTGTTGAGATTCATGTCATGTGGTCACAATGTTTTGAACATGCTGTACCACTGAAACTTCCAAATAGAAGACTTCTTACACCTGCAGAGCTTCCACAAAATTACTTCCCCAGCTTCGTAGAAACAAAATGTTGATCCACATCTCCTGTGGTGGGACATTTTTTCTGAGAAGTTTAATTTTGACTAACTTTGAAAAATCCTATAAATTATGTAAAGCTTAAAGTGAAAAATTGTGACATGGATTTTTAAGGTGCATTACAAATCACTTTCTTGGACAACTATCAAATCGACTTTCATTTACTACCAAACAGAATCAGCAACTAACCATCAAGGAATTCAACTTTGTTCCGCGTCTCCAAAGATCAACCGGAAAAACTTTCACCATCAAACTCAACACTTTGTGTAACAAGCTCACAGCTGATTCGATTATGGCTGAATCTGTGCACAGGGATCCCTTAAATATGGGGACAACTTTAGAGAGCACAATTATACAAAACTCCTCCAAGGATAGCTGGTTCAACTGCAAGGCTTCAGTGACCATCTCATCTTCATCCTCATCACTCGCCTGAGACACCTTGTTGTCAGACACCTTAGAACTGGATTGATCATCACTGAAAGAAAAGGAAAATGAGGTCAACACCACTGTTCCAATTTTTACCATCAAGAAGCCAATTAAAATACATCACTCAGTCCTGCATCAATCAGGGTTGTCATTAGAAAATGTCAGAGACGCATGATCTGAACCAAGAAGGCATTTGAATTGAATTATGCTTGCATTGCAAACATGGCATGTTACAAATCAACAAGCCCGTTCAAGAGGGGTCTGGGGACATGATCCCAGGGTAAAATTTCAAATTTGAAACTCTCTGAGATGTCATTTCCAGCATTGGGTGACATATCTGCGTAATCTTTGTCAGCCAGACATTGATGTTATAATCAGTTCAAAAATAAATATTTTCAGTTTTTTATCTCAATTTGTAATTTTCCTGCCCAAAGTGGTCTGACTGCTGGCAGTTTCTGCCACCTTCCACCTGACCTAACAACAACCCTGCATCAATATCAATTTAATTCTGGTAGAATGACTGTTTTTCGTTTTCTTTTTTTTTTGCCAATTTTTCCTGTGACTATATACATTTAAGTCACTGTTCAATGCAGTTTTATTCCTTTCTTATCCAGAATAAGTCCAAAATTTAAAACAATTTGTTGGCCCACTATGCAGACCAAGAGAAAGAGAAAGTATTTCAATCTACCATTAAGTCAAATAAATTTACACAGATTCAAAAAGCAAAAGGTTTCTCAGGGCTGTGATGGCACAAGGCTACAAAACATTTCCCTTTCCTAAAAGGAATTATTTCAGACTATTAGTTCCTCTTCTCATAGTCTATGAGCTTCCTCTGTTGCATGTAGATTATGTTATAACATAACCAAAGTAAAGCGCGCGCTCTGATTGGTCAATTTAGCGTCCCCCATTTGCCCATGGGTGTACGCTGCTGACGTGAGCAAATGCAAAGGCTATTTTTCCGTGCGCGCTTGTTTTTTCTGGTCGCGTAAGATTTGTTAAATAAAAGGGAACTCTTTAGCTACAATGTATCAATGTTATGTTATAAAACAAATGGTAAACACCACAGCGTACACTATTGAGTTATGGATGCACTTGGGAGGTTTGCTAAGCACTCAAAAAGCTAGAGTCGCTCTCGGCTATCTCCTTGAGCGACTCTTACCCTTCTTTCGTGCTTAGCAACCTCCCACATGCATCCATAACTCAATAGTGTACGCTGTGGTGTTTACCATTTGTTAAACAGAAGCCATCACTGTATGTGACTCTAATCTATCCCTCTAAGTGCAGACACACCTGTCATCTCCTCCATCTCCAGTTTCTCTTACATTTGCCACCTGTTGATCTGAACCTTGGTTCTTTGTTTCCACTGACATAGAAATGTGCCGGTGTTTCCAACAATCTGTCATGAAAGCAGGGAGAGATTAATTCTGACAAGGTAAACTCACTTGCTAGCCATGAACAAAATTAAAAAGTGAAAAATTAAAATTATCCTAAAGAGGAATAAGGCAAATGATAGAGGAGATTAAGAGAAAATGCTAAACTCAGATAAGACAGAACAACTACAGGCATATGCAAAAATGAATTGATACAATTATCATTTCAAAAAAAAAAAACTGCATAGCTTCAAAACTGCAAAAATATGAAAAAATGCCAAAAACTTCATATCAGTTTTTCCTCTATTAACATTATAAAGTTTAACATAAGACATTCTTTAGCATAAACATCATTTATATTTTAGAATAAAAAAATTTATAGATTATGTGTTTCATACATCTATAAAACATTTTACTTTCATGAAGACAAGACAGAACAAAGAGCCAAACCTTGTTCAGGACAGAAAAGCACAAGGTCACACACTGCCATAAGACGTACAAGGACATGATGACTTAGATCACACAGACAGCGTATGGCACCAAGTGTGAGAGGAGCCTCATCACCAAGATGGCCCTTCTCCTCCAACAGTTCTAAAAGAGACTACAAAAACAAAAAATTAATAAAAACTCAGGTATCTATTGTCAGTGTTAATTTTTAAGTCTCTCAAAGAGCACAGAACACAAATGTCTGATTTTAGTAATGACAATAATTAACCGTAAATAATTCATTTAAAAACACTTAGTGTTAAATAGATTTTTAATTTTCATTATGATAATAATTCCAATCACCAGAGGTAGTGAGATAATTGCTCCTAGAAACAAAAATAAAATAAATCTCAATGACAGAAAAGACTGACCTGACATTTTCATTTCCTTATATTTTTTTGAACTACAATTAATTTGACTTGATTCTTGCCATGAACAATTTGCCAGCTTACAATCAAAGATGGAGTTCACAAGATTTAGCAGTTTATTATAAATTGAAGTTGAGTGAAGTATGACAGAACTTTGGTGAAGACATTTTGACCTTGTCTTGGCCAACTGGTCCTGTTTTTAGTGGCAATGTGTTGTTTAACTTCTTTGGGCAGGCTTTCCAGGGTTGGCCATGATTAAGTAACAACTAGAAACAAGGAAGGTTCCCACGATGACCTTTATTATGTGCCTCACTCAACTGATATTCTTTTAATGAGTGTGTAAAATCTTTCAACAAGGAAAATATAATAATTATTTCCATGATCATTGTGATAACATTTCACCCCTTGGGTGCCATGTACCATTTTTACACTGCAGGTGATGCTATGTGAATGTAAGTTGCTTTCAGTATGACTGGCCTTGATTGTTCAAAAGATGGATAGCGTTAACCACTGGATATATCACTAATTATTAAAAACTGGATCACTGGATAATGCAATTGAAGACTTTTTATTGGCTTAGCCATTATGGTGTATGAGCCAATATACCATAATTTAACCCTGGTGAAAATCCTGTCCAGGATCCTGTAGGATCCTGTAGGATCTTGAATAGGAACAGGATCCTAACTAGGATCCTGTATAGGATTTTAATCCTGACTAGGATCCTAGAAAGATAACAAATCCTGAATAGTTTGGATATATCAACAAAGTTGAAATGGTAAATTGGCCACCGTGATGATTACAAAAGCTGACGTTTCGAGCGTTAGCCCTTCGTCGGAGCGAAGGGCT